CTGTCGGCAGATAAAGCTATTACCGCCATGCCGGATAAGTGCGCAACTCGCGCTCCAAGCGGCGTTGTCCCCGTTAGATTAGAATTTAAATCCGGTGGCAGGACGAAAACCACCCACTCAACCACCCGCCGCACCCGGCAACCCTGCCCGCACACAAAGGATATCACCCCGAATGGCCGGGAACTCCGCTTTCCGCTCTGATGGGGGATGGTTTCGCTCCTGGTGCTCCTTGTGCTCCCTGCTTCCTGGACAGCGCAGCTTAATACAAACATTGAATAAATCTCATTGCGGCGTTTATTTTAATTTCTACGTAAACATAAACTACGAGCGCCAAGGGAGCGGCCGTCCTTTTCGTGGGATGTCGGTGGAGGATACCCAGCAGGATACGGAGACAGGAGACCGGTTCGCTTCGCTGAATTTATGCCATTGTATATTGCAATTTACATGGCATTTATAATTTCTCATTTTAATAGGAATTTGTAGGGATTTCTTGACTCAAAGGATGCCCTTAATTAAATGAATATAGAGAAGAAAAAATATGTATACTTTGTTTTGTTTATTTTTTTATTTTTAATTTATTTTAAATACATTTTTATCTCATCTACAATCATCAGAGTTATTCATTTAAATAAATCCAAAGCCTGCTGATCCCATCTTGGAATCCATTTACATTACATATTTCATTTGATTCATGTCGATGGCCTTCCAGAATTTATTCGGAGCATTTGCATGCATAATGACCAATTAATAGCTGCCGAGTGGGACAGGACAGGACACCTCGAGCACGTTCGACAACCTTTCCCTGCCCGATTGCAGTGTTTCCCTAATGAACTGCTACTCGAGAGCCAGAGCCTGAGGAGGGATGGAAAAAAATCAGCAACTTAATGTTGCATTTTATCGCCAAGACGCGCCGCTTCGCTCACCTTATCGCAGGCGAGGCAGATGAGGCCAGAGGGTTCCAGGACTATCTGCCTGCCCTCGGTAGGGCTGTTGGTGGTGGGAAATGGGAACGAATTCGGCAGCATGTTTGTATAAATTTTTTATAGGTAATACACTTAAGGAAACGACACTTAGAGTCATCATTACAAGCGCTTCGCCTGCAATAACAGGCCATCTTGCACATAGTTTTCGCAATTTACTTGATCCCCGGCGTGCGGCCCAGAAGGGATTGGCAGCTCGATCTGGAACTGGGTTCCTGAGGGGTTCGGCTTGGCCACTGGGAGTTGGTAACGGCTCCTGGCAACTGCTGGCCTCAAGTGCCCGTGGCAGTCGATTAGCCATATTTAGGCAAAGTTCGGCCCGCAGCCGATGGCGTTTTCATCATTCGCTATTGGCCATAAAGGACACCGGTGGCAGGTTACGAGCTCCTGCCAAAATAGAGCTGACTTTTAATCTTGAGAGGCTAGGAAAAATATTGAAAAATTGTATATCTTCAGCTCAAAGAATATTAATATACGAAAATCTTAAATTAAGTCATATGATGAGATAATAAGAATAATTTATGCTCTTAATTTAAGGCCAAAAACTATATTATATTTTTGTAAAAACCTTAAGGCTGAATGTACCATTAGTAGGACACAAAATGTAATTTTTGTATTATCCTAGACAACCCCTAAAGAACCTGGGGAAACCCGTCTCAGCCAGACAGAGAAATTTACCCCCTTACGCCCCGATGATTGCGAATCGCTTCTAATAATGCAATTGATTCTTGATTTGCACTCTCCATTTTCCTAATAATGCCCGCCGGAAAAACGGGAAAAGCGAAGGAAAAAGCGCCCAAGTCGCGAGGGCAACGTGCGCATTCCATAAATCGCCGCTTCATTTTCGCTACATTAAACGTCAAAATATGAACCCATTTGTGAAACATTTTTGCCGCTGCCCAGAATGGCACTAGCCCATTATAACTACAACAACAAGGGCGACGGCACCAAAAACAGAGGAATCCTGGCGGACCCAACAATATTACGGCAATAACGAGACGGACAAAAGGAAAACTACAAGGCAGCGGGCAAGGGAGAAGGCTGGCCAGAGGATATGCCATGGGAAATGGTCGACTGCAGAGTGTTCTCAACTTGAAATGTTTAATCTTTTTAAGTAAAAAATATAGTAAGCTTTTAAGTAATAAATTACTAATTATTTTATAATACTTTTTTGCTCCGTGATTAACTATTTTCAGTTTTTTTTTAATATATTATTAACAGGAATGAAAGCTAACTGGAAAGTTGAGGTTTGTATATCTCTGGAAACTTCTGTCTAAAAGTAAAACTTTAATAGCAATACAAATATTTTATATAAAAATACATTTGTAAGTTTATTTTAAGCCAACTAAAAAGTGAAGTGATTCTCCACAATCTCTATTCCTTTAAATTTCCTTAAAACCACTTAAAACTTAAGTAAAACTTGAAGAAAAGAATAACTTGTGATTGGAGATGACATGGCGAGCTCTGCTACCAGCAATTTCATCTTCTTATTCATGAATTTCCGGCGGAACGAGTCCGCCGAGTGCCATTCCCGCTGTTGTCCTCGTCCTCCATCGAATGGAAAGGAACAGGAGGGGCGGTTCCGGATCCGGAATCGAAATCGAGTCGATGAGATGCGCACGTTCCTGAAAAAAAAACAACAACAATGGAACTCATATGAACCGTGCAGCATGACAGTCCCGGTCTCCGGGGGCTTTGACTCCCGCTGCAATTACGAGTATTTTTTAACTGCTTATTGCGTTTTCGTCCTCCCGATCCAAACCCATTTCCTGCCCCCCAGCAACAAGCAAACAAGGACTCGCAACTGAATTTCATTCGATTTCAATGCGAAAGGGGATCTCGAGAGCTCGCCAATAAAAATTAACGATACACGCATACACAGTTCACAAAATGTCGGGCTGAAGTATCTTGCTTTTCCCGTTGTTTTTTTTTATATTTTGTGGGTGGTGAAATTTCAATTTCGTTGAAAATCAAATTGCGTTTCCAAAAGGTTTCCTCACATGGGCATATTTAGAGGGGTTTTACTTTAAATTTTAAAGAATATGTATACTTGAATTAAGGAGGTGTAGGTAAGAAATTTAATCTCCTTAAGAATGTATTTTAAAGATTTATTAGTAAGGTTTTAGTTTTACTTAAGTAATAATCCCCTTGATTTTAATATTTAATATAATATTTATTTCAGTTTAAATTAAGGAATATTTGGTGAATATTATTACATTGAATAAGAATTTATGAATAATAATTAGACTGAATCTAATTAATCACTCTTAAGATATAAGGGTCAATTTTACATTTTTGAACCTCCAAATATTCTTAAATAAGTCTTAAAAAGTAACGATTATCTCTCCGATATTTTCCTCCAAAATAAACTAAAGAAATTTACTTACAAGTATATATATTTAATGATAATTGCTAACCAACCTAAAATATAATGATCTACATCAACAGTAATTACCAGATTCTCCTTACTTTCTCAGCAATTTTTATGGCCTGTCTCTCTATATAAAATTTTCTTTTACCAAACCATATAAGCATCCCCTTTATAACGATACAACCTCCCATCCGCAATCACAACATCATTAAAAATCGCTGCTCCACTTTTCTCAATTAACCGCTACGAGCATCGTAATTCTGCGACTAAAATCTAATTTAGTTCGATGGGATATGTTGCTATAAGGAAAAGGAAGATGCCAAAATATATATTTTTGGCACAGCGTAAGGAGGTCGTACCCGTACTCCAAAGGTCATAACAATATTTTCACGTTTTTCCCAAGTCCGGAATGAGTTTTTGAAATTTATTTGGGGCTCTGAGGAGGAAGAAACCCCCGAACCGATCCGAAAAACAGCCTTGGAGAGAAGGCAAACAACAGGCGAGTGCCATTATTTTGATACTCAAGGCTATTAACGTTAATTTTCGTTAGTTACGTAATACCTTACGCCCACATCCCAGCACACACACACACTTTCACATGCACACATATATATATCGAGTTCCATTACGGAAATTCCCATTCCATCTTCGACTTTTTCTCGGGGGTAAAACAAGCATCCGCCATGCGTGTTCCCTGGAATCTCTGTGTGTGTGTGCTTAACCCCACAACGCCCAACTGAGCATTTTCCAACGCCCACCCCCGGCACCTGCTCCATCGCTTTTCCTGCCATTTTCCCGGGTGTCTCAGTTCGTCCGGAGGCCGCTGGCATTAAGGAGATTTACGAGTACATGATTTTGCATGTTCGGTGCCCCCCGATGCCATTTAGATTCGCTTAAGTACATTTTCATCCTTGCACCCACACAGGCACACACACACACACACACACACGCTACGTGTGTGTATTTGCGTACGCATTTAATGGCCCATTAGTGCTATCAAATACGCATAAATATCTGCACTTTGCCGGGAGTACACACCCAAACCCGGACACCAGGACACCCCGGCGCCCGGACAGATACCCGTACGATTTCAAAATACGACTCCGGATGCGGGAATCCACACACATGTGCATATCCTCCGGGCGGCGAAACAAATATTTGCAGATCCCAGTTTATTGCCGACTTAGTTGGGGGCGGTACGGGGGATTTGGAAATGCAATATTGTAAATTGCCCGCCCATAAACACCCCGCTCCGCTTCCCCCCTTCGGCACTCTGGCTATTTTTGCTGGGAAAAGCATAATGAGTTGTATAATTACTTGTCCTACAGTTCGGCCTTAATGCCTTTCAGCATACTCTTTCTTATCGTTTTTAGAAAGCAATTGCTATTTGTTGGAATTTTTTATGTTTTTTATACTTAATTATATGGTTTAAAATATTATCTATAAGGATTCAATGGAAACAAGAAATAAAGTTAGCTTTGGAACACCAAAAGTTATGTAGCCTTCCAGTAAACTTGGATAGAAGTGGAATCTAGTCCCCATTAACCTCAAACATCCTAGTTCTGATAAGAGTTAAGGATAGTGTATCTGCTTTAAATAGGATTCGAACTTATTACAAATCTCAACATAAAAATCTCAGGGCTATAAAAGTACCCATAACTTAGTAGACCGAAAAACAATTTGAAATTTTGGAAAATTCACAAAAACACACACATTGTAAAAACTAATTCTAATTTCTTGGCCAAAACATAATCGCTGCCGATGCTTGGTAATAAGCCAGCGGAAGAGGAGGAACCTCCGCCGCTTGAGACGCGCACACCCGCAACCCAATCCTCGAGGCAATTGAAAACAGAGAACAGTACTCATGAATCAGAGGAACAGTTAGCCGGTCACCGCGTGAACAATGCTGGACTGTACACCGCCACCTTTTACAGCAACATCGGATCCTTTTTCTTCGGGATCGCTATGGGCTGGTCTGGCGGGGCTGAGAGATCGGTGATGGAGCGAAGCTCTTACGGCTTCACTCCCTCGAAGGTGCAGTGGAACTACATCTGCATACTGCTCACCCTGGGAGCGATGGTGTGGTGCCTGCCCACTGGTTTCCTTTTGCGGTTCTGCGGCTGCAAGCGGACGATCCTAGCGCAGCTTCTCCCGAACACCCTGGGCTGGTGCCTCACCACCTGGGCCCAGAGCATTTCGATGCTGTACGCCGGTCACTTCATCCTTGGCATGTGCGGAGGAGCCCACTGCGTGGCAGTGCCGATCTACAGCGCCGAGATCAGTTCCGTAAGGAATCGCGGCATCATGGGCGCCTGCTTCTATGGAGCCTGCATGGTCGGCGTGTTCTACAGCTTTCTGATGAGCACTTTCCTGGAAATTAAGATCGTTAACTTCCTCAATCTGGTCCTGCTTCTGCTTGGCCTTTTGCAGTTACTGATGCCAGAGTCACCGGCTTATTACGTGAAGCGGGGGAAGATGGAGCACGCGGAGAACAGTCTACGGTTTCTGCGAGGCAAAAACCACGATGTAAGCAAGGAGATGGCCCGTCTGACGAGGGATCCTTCGAGCAGCGTGCACGATCAGCACCACAGTCCGGAGCAAGGTTTCAAGGAGGTCAGAACGAAACTCGCCCGGGTTCTGGTGCTGGCCGTGCTCCATAAGCTGAGCGGCGGCTTCATCGTCATCGTATACGGCCACCGGTTGCTGGCATGCCAAATGCTGTCACGTACGCTGGCCATAGGACTGGGCGCGTCCGGTGTCGTGGGGTTCCTGGTGTGCCTGTTCCTTGTAGAGCGAGTGGGCCGAAAACCTCTGATGATTGTCATGTCAGCCATCATGTTCTTCGCCACGATCATGCTAGGCATCGGCTTTAAGCTGTATTTGGACAACGGGGGGGAAATAATTCGATGGGTTATGTATTTCTGCTTGGTCGTGTTTGTGAGTGCCTACACGGTCGGACTCGGGACCCTCACCTGGCTGCTCACCGTGGAGCTGTTCCTGCCGCCCATGCGGCCGCTGTGCTGCTCTCTAGCCGCTACGGTTAGCTGGCTGACCGCCTCCTTTGCCATCTACTGGTACTCCTACCTTAATAAGGTCTGCCGGCCATATCCATTCCTAATCTATGCTATCCTTGCCGTGTGCAGTTTGCTCTTCACGCTGGCCTACATGCCGGAGACTAAGAGGATCTCCGAATATAGGATCCAGCAACGAATGCAGAACAAGAACCCCCCGGCCCCCCGAAACAGCGAAGAGACGGAGCCTTAGGATTCTTTGATTCACCTTATAACCCAAATCGTATTTGTATTATAAAATAAAACCTAGAGTGCTTTTGTTAACACATTTTGGAGTAAAGAAATGGGCATCGTTTGAACGTAGTGCCTCCTGCAGTCCATCCACTCACTTTTGCTTATTAAACGCTCTTATTTATGCTGGCTCTGTGGCGACATTTTGTGTGTATTTGCGAACATTTTCTTATTCGCGTAATTAAAAGTTATGTTTTACACTGTAAATTCATTGCCTGCGCTGGCACATTTATGAATTTATGCGCTGTGTGCGAAAGCTGCCAGTGCTGGATTCGAGTTCCCGACTCGAAGGCGTATAAATATTAATTTGCATTTTGTCACATGATTTAGATGGCCATTAGGTCCAATTAATGAGGCACTGCAACTGCGGGTCTCATTGAGATAAATGCCCAAGAACGGAGCGACCGATGGTCGCCATTGCGGCCTGAATACTGGAGTACGGAGCCTGGTATATACGATTCCCAGGCGATCATCTCGATTTATCTATCCGCAATTAATTCAATTAATTCACCTGACCACCAGATACACACGCTCACCTTCCCACGAGCTCCGCATGCAAATCGGGGTTGACATTTTGCGGCAAATATACGAGGCACCATAAAAATAGTTTACGACTTTTAATTACGGACGCAGCGTGCGGTCTCCAGAAGCACAGAGCCGGCGGAGGGGAAAAAAAATAAATATATATAATGGCTGAGCCTTCTGCCTTTTGTCTTTCCTTGGCCGCCTCTTCCTGGCTTATTTATTGGGGTTTTAAGCCACCATTTTGGTGGCTCCGCCGGCCTTTGTAATTCCCCTGAATTATATCTCAATTCATTCCCCGGCTATAAATTTGATAAATTTCTCATTTCGCTTACCTGCCCCGCTGGGATCTCGGATCGAGATCTCCGGATCGGATCGCTGGATCGTAAATAAACGGAGGACTCCACTCCGCCGCAGGCTGATTAAAATGTTCAGCTCAGGTTAGGTTTCTCGGCCGTTCATTATGCATCTCGCGGCGGAAATTTAAATGTATAATTTCATTAAGTGAAATGGAAAATTAATTATTCGAATGTGCGCTTTGGACGGAATGAACAAAGGCCGTTTGAAGTGAATCGTAATGAGTTGCATTCGCTAATTGAAATGGCATTCAAGTTCTTATCGACGGCGATGAGTCAAGGTTTTATTAAATTATTGAGTTGTTTTTAAGGAGCTTACATACATTAAATGTTGCAGTTTATACAAAGTAATTCATTTATAAAACAGATATAGTAATAATTCAAATTCAACAAGCAATGTCTTATAAGCCTAGAATATAAGTTGTTGGCTCTCAATTTTTAGATTTCTCATAGTTTTGACTATCAAGTCAATTGTACAAGTGAAAGTCCTCTTTATGAATGGCCATAAAAACTTGAACTTGTAACATTTTCCAAATTGAAATGAGCCAAACAATGATCCTTTATCAGCCCCATTTAATGCCCTCGAAGGTCCGCATTGGTTCTGCACATTCAAGTGCTCATATGCGAATGTATAAATCCGCATCTGATAAACCTCGAAATACACTCAATTTGTGTGCGAACCGACTTCATTTCGCCTCGAGGCGATGGCACAAAAAATAAAAAAATGAAAGCCAACAAGGAGCTGCTGGGAAGCGCATGTGCATAACCGCCCATTTGCGTGGGCGCGTCGAGTTCTCCTTGGCCAAGCTCCTTGGCTACGCTCCTCTTTGCTCCTTTTGCCGGCGAAAAGGATGGCACGAGATGGCCGAAACACAGTCCTCGACGAACGAAGGTGAAACTGGAGGCCACGAGCGCAGCAGCTCCATGAGCTCCAAGTCGTCGTATTGATTTTAGTGGCGCATTTACGCGCGATTATCGTTTAGTCGGCGATGCCCGAAGTATTACGAGAATTGTTATGGCCACCGAAATGGCTCCAAACGATGCTCCCAGCAATTGCCAGGAACGAAACCGAGACGACGACGTCATCCTCATCGCCTTCGGCTTGCGGAGAAGCTGGAGAGTCAGACTGCCACTGCCGTCGGGTTGGTTTCTTGGCCAGGAATCTGAGCAGGAGAAGCCAAAGAATTGCTTTGCAAAAAATTGCAAACTTTCTTTTGTTCCAAGTTGCCGACGGGCAATGGGTAATTTCTGTTGAAGCCACAAGAGTTTTCATTAAACGGAAGCCTCTAACTCGTCATATGCAATTTTAATTACACATGGGAGTTGAGCACAAAATTTACATAGCCAATGCAGGTGACACACTTAAGTATAATAAAGAACAAAATAAACATTTTGGATGTGAGAGTATTTTCATTTTATTTCAAGTAATTTGAACCGATAGAATCTTTATTTAACATGACACGATCTCTCGGTTTTAAGTTTAATGTAAGCCAAAACGAAGACCCTCTCCAGCCTCGTACCGATCGAACCGAAGAATATGGAAAGGCCAAAAAAAGCGGCCCCGAGGAAAAGAGAAAACACAGCCAAGGCGAAAGGATGCATGAAAATTGCTTTCATATTTCAGGTGATAATGGTTTCCTTATGTGAATTTACAAAACATTAAAGCTCCTGCCACCGCTGCTGTTGCTGCTGCTGCTGCTGTGCACGGAGTATACATAATTTGGCCAAAAAGCAATTCACGTTAATGGCGCAAAATCCCAAAAGGATAAGGCGGCGAAAAAAGTGTTTCCCCCGGAGCTCTCCTGTTCGCCGCTGCCAGCGAACGGAAATGGCGAAAGGACATCCGAAGATACGAGCACGATACGCGATTCGGGGGGCGGGATTTTGGATTTGGGATTCGGATCTCGGATTTGGGGTGGTGGGAGGACGAGGACCTCCCCAATCCCCCGTCAGGACGACGCCAGCGCCTCGTTGTTTGTTGTAATGGGCGTTGTACCGGCGCCGCAGGACGAAGGATCCGTCCCCATCCGGCTTTTTGGGGGCTGCGCTCCCTGTCAAGGATATACGAGGTCATAAACGAGATTAAGAACGCTGCTGCCAAGCGAACAGAAAAAAAACACACACAAAAAACGGCAAGCAAGTGGAACCGGGCCAGGTACTTGGTCCTTGGTCGTGCTCCTCCTCGCAAGGATTCGATTTTCTCGTATTGGTCTTGTGGGAAATGCCCAAGAACCATTTCCAAGCATCTTTTTACATTCCTCTCGCGCTGTCTTAGGTTTTTTTTCGAGCAGGACGTGCCTTTAACCTTCGCCCAGGACCTTCTTGCCTAGCTGCATCTCCTACCTGTTTGGTTTTTTTTTGCTCTACTCCAAGTGCAAATAATAACCGTGAATTATGAAATCTGCAAAGTGCTTTGTACTCCTCTTTTTATGCTCTTGGCAATTAACCTTGGTCGCATTTTTACTGGCCGCATCCGTTGCGGTGGGTTTATAAGTGCAAAAAATGAGCATGGTTCCAGGGATAACTAGTTATAACAATGAATCATCGTCCTTGGCCACAGCCTCACTCCTGGGATTATTGGAAAAGTTATAGCATACAAGTGTGGTATTCTGCATGACTGAAATTGGTACAAACACCTTGGAAAACTATATACAACCTTCACAGATTAAAAAGGGATCGTAACTTATTTGAAATAAAATTGAATTCTATAAGAAATATTTTAATAAACTTGGAATTGTATTAAACCAATTAATAATATAAGTTGTTGAGCCTAAACTTTCCCAATTACAAAAAAAAAATACATTTAAATCCAAATGAAACTAAAGATTTCCCTAATCTTGGTCACCTGCTCAGCAACTGCCTCTTAATGGGTTCCTGCACGAAAGACAACATCCTGTTGCATACGAAATGCCGCGGCGAGCTTAATCCTGCCATTCAAATGTTTATCTTTCAATATAGAGCGTCGTTAAACTAAAGGCGAAACGCTTTCTGAATTTCCAACGACTTAAAGAGACACCGTCGCCGCCGAACCGTAACAGCTGCAAAAAATTAAATGCAAATTAGAAAAACTCTCAAAAAATACAATCGCATTAGTCTCAGATGTGAGAAATGCGATATAGGAATATACATATCCCCTGGAAGCTGGCAGATAGGACAAGTGCGGTGTGGGGACAAAGTAATTTTTCTTGAGACTCCCTGGCAGAAAAAGCAATTTAGTAAGCTGCTGGGCCGAGGTCGAGCGGAGAGGGTGGAGAGGATGAGGGCCGTAGCCGCAGAAGAGCAAACCCAATTTCCTTCCCGGCCAAATGGAATCCGCCGGCTACGTGCGCCCCAAGAAGCGCGCGCGTCTTCCCAATAAATCTTCTTTACGAGCGCACACTCTGGCAACAATGGCCGTTCCGTTGCGTTCCACCCCCTGGAAAAACCACCCCATTCCACCAAAGTCCACACAGCCCCTGCTTCGCCAACGGAAAATGAACCTAAGCAAACTATCCGAATGGCATCTCAGACCCTAAGACGATGCGGCTCCCGAGGAGATGCACTGCGGAAAACCAGTTGTTGGTAAAGAAAAAACATTGATAGGGGATTTTTTGATTAAAGAACTTAGCATAAAATAAGTACATTTAGTATAGAAATTATGTAGAATTTATGTAGAAATTTAACAAATAAAAAAATATATACATATAGGTAACATTTAATATTTTAAAAATATTTATTTAAGGTTAAACTTCTGGTATAATTTTATATAAAAGATTAAAATAATTAAATTTGCTTTTACCTCTCTTATAATTCTTTTAGACTTCGTTTCTACAAAATTTAATTTTGTTTTAGTTTTAATTATATATTTTTTGTTTTAGTTTTTCAAGTGCTACCCCATTTTTCTCCGTGTGGAAACAATTGGCAGCCAAGAAATGCGGCAAAAAGCAAACAAACGGCCAAGAAGGCGCCTTCAGGGGTGGGTTCCCGTTTCGTTCGTGCGATGGCAGCCAGCCATCTTTGCCTCCTCCGCGGCCATCCTGCTGCCAGCTCCTTGCTTCGGCACTCAGGAATTCCGCACAGCCACCCTCCTGCTGGAGCTGGAGCTGCTGCTTCCGGCTGCTTTGAGCTCCTCCGACTGCCTTCGACTCGGCGGCAGCTGCCTCTGGATGCGAACGCACGA